GAATGGATTTCTCAGAGGACGCCCCATCCCTGGAAGTGTCCAAGGCCAGGTTGGAGCAGCCTGGGATAGTGGGAGGTGTCCCTGGGCATGGCAGGGGCTGGAAAGGGATGAGCTTTGAGGTCCCTCCAACCCAACCCATTCCAGGATCCTTTGGACTCATTCTCCGAGGTCCATTCCAACCACAGCAATTTCCTGACGAGGGAAAAGGGCCCAGCCCAGGACATGGTTCAAAGGAAGGCAAGAGCTGGGAACTGGGAACTCTTGGGAGGCAGCGGGAACAGTCCTGGGGTGTGGCCAGGCTGGGCTGGGAACACAAGAGCCGGGTTTAAGCAAACCTGAGTCAGGTCCAGCTTGGGGAGACGCCCCAGGAGCGACCCAAGCCCTGCACTCCCTGTTTGGGATCCCTGAGCCTGTCCCAGAGCTAAAGGCTTGGATTTCCCCCCATGTATCCATGGAAAGATGACAAGCTTTGGGCATTAATGAGGATTTAAAGACCGGGAATGTGAAGTGGAATTACTGCCGTTGGTTTTCCCAGGGTGTTGAAGGACTCCCTGGGGAGGATCTTCCCTCTCCATGCAGGGAATTCCAGGGCCTGGATTAAAACCCTCCTGGCCCAGGCCAAAAACCCCCATGAGTGAAAGGAAGGCAGGACTTTTCCCATGACATTCCCAAGGAGTTTGAAATCCTTCTCCATAGCAGCAAGACCCTCTGGGTCCAGCATCCCTCAAAAATGCTGGATTTGGATTAAATAATCCCCCTGAGGCCACTGGTGTTCCCTCTGCATCCAAACCAGGCCATGAGGAACCTGTCCAGCCTATGGATCCTGGGAACACGGGGATATTCCCAGGAGCCTGCAGGGAGAAGGATCCATGGATCTGGAGCAGGAGGGGTTGTTCCCTGCAGAGGAGGGAGTGGAATATCCCAGAGGAAGGGAAGTGTTGGAAGATCCCGGAGCCAGCTCAGCTCTTCCCATGGGGAGGGAGTTCAGCCTCCAGGACACAGAAATACAGGGACCATCCACACTGGGCACAACTTCCATGGCATCCAGTGACCCCTGTCCAGAGCCTTTCCCTCTGGGAAGCTGCTCCTCGATCCCATGGGAAGGGACGCCCCCAGTGGGAGGGTCCTGGCAGAAGGAGTGGGTTGGTGTCCCTGGAATGACCCCCCTCCCCCAGCAGGACGATGCTCCCTCACGGAATTCCTTGCATTTCCCAGCCATCCGTGCCTGGAATCAAATCCCAGCCGGCCCTGTTGGGAGGCAGGACTGGGAATTCTGGTGGGGTCAGGGCATCCTGGTGTCCTCTCCCTGCAGGGGAAGCTCAGGGGCTGTTTTTGGACAACACTCTCCAGAGGGATTTTGGGGGGTCCCGTGAAGGGCTGGGCTGGACTCGATGATCCCTGTGGGCCCCTTCCCACTCAGGATATTCCAGGATTCCACGAGGTGAGGGAAGGAGGCTCCATCCATTCCCAGGGAAGGTGGTGGTGCTGGAGAAGGGGGAGCACAGGGAGGGGCTCCATGTTTTGGGAGCCCCCTGGGCCCTGTGGGGATCCAAGGAGAGCCAAGGGCAGCAGCAGGTGGATTTTGTGGAATTCTTTGAGAAGGAAAAGCCTCCTGCAGTGGATTTGGCAACTTCCAAGGAGATACTGTCCACCAAACCACCTGGAATTTGTGGCTCATGTAAAGTTTGTGATCCTTCCCATGGGCTCTGCTCCTCAGAACCCTGGGAGGGTTCAGGGGTGACAAAATGCCACTGGGGAAGCTCATGGAATGATGGAATGGTTAGGGTTGGAAGGGACCTGAAGATCATTCCCTAAAGATCATCCTGGCAGGGACCTAAAGATCATTCCCTAAAGCCCATCCTGGCAGGACCCCCTTGGGATGGGGGTGTCTCCAGGGGGAATGTTTGCTCAAACAGGAGGGTTTTGTCACCAGGAGCAGGGGAAGGACGGGACAGAACCTGGTCAGACCCCCCCAGGCCCCTCTCCTGTCCCAGCTCAGCCCCCAGGCAGCCCCTTCCCATGGCAGCTTTCCCTCCTCCGGAGGGAAATCCCAGGAATGATGTGAAGATTTCAAGGGACAGCAGGTCAGTTGTGCCCCAGGTAAATCACCCAGTGGTTAATCCTGGAATCCCAGGATGGTTTGGGTGGGAAGGACCTTCAATCCCATCCCATCCCACCCCTGCCCCAGGCAGGGACACCTCCCACTATCCCAGGCTGCTCCATCCTGACCTCGGACACTTCCAGGGATGGGGCATCCTCTGGGAAATCCATTCCAGGGCCTCCCCACCCTCCCAGGGAAGAATTCCTTCCCAATATCCCATCTATCCCTGCCCTCTGGTCCTTTAATGCCACCATTCCCACTTCCCAGGGTGTTCCCAATCCCAGTTCCTCTCTCTCAATGCCTTTGCCTGTGACAGAAAAGAGCCACCAACTCCCAGAAATCCCCTCTTCCCTTATCTCCCGGGGAACACTCCTTCAGCTCCAGCTCCTGGGACACCTAGAGCTCCCCTCCCAGAGCTCCCTGGGCACTTCCAGAGGAAAGGAACCAGCCTAGGCTCCCCCTTGAGCTGGTTTTCCTTCCCCTCCCAATCCAAACTGGAGGAGGATGGATGGGGTCTCCAGGTCATTGAGGGGGTCTCTTGGGGAAGTTTTGAAGGGTCTTGGGGGATCCTGGGTTGTCCAGGGGGGGGAGTCTCTGGG